GCGTGAGTGTGTGTACCTATGTATATGCATATATATATTCATATACATATGTTTACACACAAACACACATATACATATATATATATACACATTTATTAATGTATACGCATATGTATGTATGTATATATATGTACACACACACAGACACATGTATATATACATATACATACATATATATATATATACACACATATATATATATATATATATATACACACACACACACACACATATATATATATATGTGTGTGTGTGTGTGTGTGTGTGTGTGTGTATGCGCACATACATACATATACATGTATAAATTTACACACAAATATATTTCTTTTCTTTATATATGTATTTTTTCTCTTCTTTTCTTTCTTTTTCTTTTCTTTCTAATACTCACACGCGCTTACATATAGCAGGATTTATTTAAAGATTCCTTGCATTTTATACACATACACATTTTCCATTTGCACAAACGCTGTCGGAATCTACAACATACAAACTTATGAAAACCAATGATATGAAACTACTTTTGTTTCGTTAAGGACTCCATTGATCGAAGCTTTGATAGTCACACGCATTTCATTCTCAATAAGCGTGATGGGAAAGTGTCACTAATGCAAATCACATTCATACATATTGTATTTACTGTTCGCCACACATTGCACACGCCTTACACCACACCTACACCACGTACAATACCGTCTCTCTCTCTCACTCTCACCCTTCCTCTCTTTCGTATGGAAGTTCCCGTGTTCTATATTCGTTTTCTAATATATATAATCGGAATTATGTTCTTTTTCTGATTGCTTTTGAAATTGTTCAAGAATAGAGATTTATACAGATATACAGATACAGATATACATTACAAACCATTCTGAGAGGGTATGGCCTCCTAATTCGGTTCTGGTGCATGTGATCTTTTTTCGTCTGTTGTGAAGGTGTTACTGCATCCATCTGTTACCATTATTGATAGTTGCTTTTGCTGTTGATATTACCGTAACATTTATTATTACAGCTACCATTGAATTCTGATGAATGTTAAAAAAAAGCTCTCGTCCTTCTGAACAGGAAACTACGTTCCTTCACACTTTCATTAACTTCATAAATTTTCTGGTGGTCAGATGTACTCGAACATATCTTAAAACCATATTGGCACTAATATCTGGCTGATACATTATCATCCTTAGCTTATCAAAGGATGATATAGTTCTTCACAAAGTCTCGTAGATGTAAACAAATTCTGTGAGGATCAAAAGTCACTTCTCGGCCTTGTGTGATAACAGTCAGATGTAAGAATGATAATTTTACGTTCCTTGAGAGCACTGTGATGCGCTCTCCCACTCAAATAACCTTTACCCGACTTTAGCATTGTGTGTCGAGGGGGCAGTGTTTACGGGTGTCTCGGCCCCTGAAATCGACACTGAAATAAAATCGCAGGTGGTGATGTCATTCAGTGTGGTGTATCGGTGTACACGTGTTTTATCAACATGTCATTTTGAAAGAAAGTTCTATACTGGCAAATCATATACATATATGGCATGTTTGTGCGTGCGTATATCTTTCCTACAGTAACCTTGAATGCCCATGAAACCTTACTTGCATAGCGGTTCTACCTTCTTTGCGGTTCAGTCACACAGCTCAGTTGTCTGTTCTCGCGTTCGTGTCATAGTGTTCTCTCATTTAACACCGAAGGACAGTGAACAAGGATTTGACGTTTAAGTTAATGACAGAAATAAAAATGATGAGTGTGCCAGTCATGATCAAATTTGTTACCTAGTCATGCATGCTGGTAAGTGCCGTCATATTTACGATATGACCGCTGGACAATTTGTCTTGATATTTGTCTTGATAAATAGAAATTAGAATAAGATCCACGTTAGGAAACCACATGTATATGAAATTGATCCGTGCACAATCATACGCACAGTGATGTGTGAACGTATGAGTTTGAATGCTGCAAAATTCCCCCAAAAAACTTGTCTTGTTTTGCACTTGAAAAAAAGATCAATATGAAAGCGATATAACAACGGAGAAAATCGTGTGCATTTTGTTAGTGACAACAAGAACCATAACAAGAAATCTTAAACCGCAAATCTTTAGAGAACTAAAAAAGGAATTCGAGATAAATAAGACTTGGCTTTAGTGTGAAGTGTTTTTATAGTCTATGGTAACGATTAGATTACGGAGGATTGCGGGTGGAGCGATAAGCAGCTTTTCACGAATCCAAGGATATTAAAAACAAAAAAACAACAACAAAAAAAATATTATCTATTGTTTGTCTGTTGTGAGGCTAAAAACAGTGAAGGTGAATCTGATATAAAATGTTTTGTTTTTCAGTGACGGTTACATTACATTACATTACAATCATTACAAAGATTTTTTTTTCTTTAGCTATTCTTATAATTGTATTTTAAGGACTATAAAGGGTACCAAATAAATACTACATGAAAAATTGGTTCAGCCTTTCTGTAGGTAATGTCACACTTTTTTTTAGAGGTATAACAGCATG